CAGTTGTGTAGTAGTCCGACCTAGCCTCAGCTTCCCACCAGTTGGCGATTCCAAAGTTCTCCCACTTGCCAGCGGCCGCTGCCTCAACACCCTGGAGGTCCCTTGCTCTGCTCTGGCCAATGGAGACAGAAGTTCTGTCAACGAGAAGATGATCGGGCGAGTGAGGCGAGACAGCACACTCGTCATACCCACCTCGAGGCGTGCACCTCATAGACGCTTCCCCGGATGGAGACTGGCCGCCCCAGGTTTGGTGACGATAACCCTGATGACGCGGGCTTCCACCACGAAGGAAAGGCATGGTGCAAATGGAACGATTGACCACCTGAGCGCGACTGCAATAAAGATTGGCCGCATAGGGAACCTCGGATTGACTGGATTCCCCAGGCACGTTGCTGTCGTCGTTTGATGGATACTTTTGACGAGAGGAGGGAAAAACTGCGAGTTGAGTAAGAATACGTTGGATGAGGGGGTGGGACATCCGAACTGCCTTTTCTTCCCGAATCCTGCAGCAAGGTTTTCAAAGAACAGAAGCATAAAAAAGTGTGATTTATGGCCACAAAATGACAGCTCTTCTAGTTATATCTTAATCAATTTCATACGAAAACCCTAACGGTATAAGCCAGAAAGTACAAAGCTCTACATACCATCACTATATAAGGTGGTAGTGGATACCAAACACGGAAAAGGATGTGTACAATCAATTCGTAGAGGACTTCTATTCGCCTAACGTTTCGAAGTGCTTCATGGATCCTTCATCAGAGACATTAGCATAAACAGTAACAGAAACGGGTACTGCATGCACAGGAATTTGCAGTATTTATAGACTAAAGTCGTTACTGCACATTTATTACCACGATAAATAACGATGATTGCCCTCTTGGGCGTTGCATGCTTGAAGACCGGCATGCGGGCCGTGACCGGCTGAACTTGCATCCCACATTATGAAAACGGACGTGAGGAGTGCTTGGCCATCTGGTTCCCCGGCGTTGGTGGAAGATGACGCGGTGGCCTGTCACGGCAAGAAACATCCGGAGTTGTCTTTAGGATCTGGTGCAGTCACGGACAAAGCAACTAAGTCGGAGAAAATGGAAGACTTCACAAGACGCGAATTGCCGAATACGCGGCAGCCGTGCGGTGAGATTATGCCAGTTCTCAAGTTCCGGCTCATTCGACGAAACCCGGCCACATATTCCAATTTGATGAAGTGGTAAGAGGTGATAAACATGTGAGTCGAGAAGTACTTAAATCATGGTTTAAGGGTCACAATGGATAAAACACGCGCAACGACCTGCCCAATCCATATTCGGTGCTCAGGCTCAATTTGGTCATATCAAGTCGCCACTTGGGAACCGTACAGATCACTGCGTTATCTTCCGCAAACACCGGGGAACCAGACGGCCGAGCAATCATCACGCCCGAATCCACCACGCATGCCGAAAGTTCAGCACACACTAGCCAACCGCCACCGGTAATAACAGCTTAGGGATATGTACAGAATTCTTAACCCGTTGTCTTGCGTCCGGCGCTATGAAGGAGAAATTATACCTGATTAAACAATATTCAACACAGGCTTCTAACTCTCGTAAGGTTACTTCGCGAAAAGAAACAACTACAGGTATTTCCTATCTGGTTTCGAGGCAATTATTGCTCAGCTAATATTGCAGTGTATACTGAAAATATTCGTAGAACATTTTGCTACCTTTGCATCTTTGAATAACTTCGTATGTTATTGCAATCCCATTAGATTTTCTAAGAACCTGCAATACGTTTACTCGAAAGTGGTTTAATGATAAATTTCAAAGGACATCAAGAACCCCAGTGAGATGAAAACTTCTTCAGTTGCCCTGCTCTTCGACGTTTCCAGATGGGCTGCGGCGCTGGGTCAAGGGCAGCATAGCTAAGTTCGTGGGGCGGTCGACGGAGAACGTGTTCAAACCACATCAGTCGCCTTTCTTGACTGGCCTGAGATATCT